TCAGACTTCACAGAGGGGAGGGAACATCAAATTGAAAAAAAGTCGGGAGGGGGGAACAGAAGAGCGTTTCAAAGATGTAAGAGACAAACACAAAGGTAGAACAAAGGTGAGGCGAGTACTGTGGAAATAGTCAAATATGGCATATAGTGAGGTGATGGTGGTTTGAAGTGAGAAGTCAACTGCCGGTTTATAGACTTTTTTACCGTATGAGAATACGTTGCCCAGGGTGCACCATGTGGGGGGTAAGTCTATCGCACACCCCACCTATTTAAACATACTTTCCAGTTATATTCACAATCACTAGTCTTAGTCGTTAGATTCTATGAACGTCTTTTGTTACTTAAAGGGGAAATTCTGCTGCTCTGTAAATATTAAGCCCTTGGTCAAAATTTGCATATTTAATTAAAAAGTGACAATCTAGAATAAAAATGTCTCCTTTTTAGTTTCCTTGGGTAAAATATGATTAGAGGTTGGTCAATGGACATGTGACTTCGCTTTCAAGAAAAAGTGATATTACCAACATATTCTTTCGATAGGCCGTAATTACAAAAAGCTTGTAATCTTAATGGTAGCAAAAATCAATAGCTCATTTATTGCCACGCTTTGATCTGAGAGAGGCGGAATGTAATGATTCAATTCAAATTATGCAAGCACTCGGATTTGTCCACCTCATACACCATTTGCTTTCGACGCAACTCTTTTATAATGACTGTTTAAATCTCATTTTTACGGTATTTGCGATGAAATTCAGATTATGAGAGAAGCCTTTTTCTAACTAATGATTCCCACAGCTGAGCAAAAAGATTATAGTTCATATGCATATTTAGCCTTTTAAATCAAGTCTCTTTGATCGTCTAACCTGCGTTGTATGAAATTTCTATCATAATAATAATTTTATTTGTGATCCTGATAATGGTGCACTTATGAACGGTTGATGGCTCTGCTAGTAAAAATTTAACACATCCAATATTCAGGCAATCAAATTTGGACACACAAAATCATGCATAAGGCTGCTATATTTTTCAGTAAATGTTACTAAACGCTGACTTATTCCATTATTTTTCATATTAGCCTTGCTTGTTAATACCTTTACAGATATAATGATTATAAGGTAAAAACAGTTTCCAGAAGTGCAGAATTAAAAATATACAGAGGTCTGAAATGATAGTACTAGCTTTTTTCCGTTTATTTACCAGGCTTTTTATGATTTATTTGGCTGTATTTCCACGGATATTTCTAGAATTCAACTCGAAATCATTTCGTTTTAGACATCTAAAGTATATTTTATATTTGAAAAATTTTAGCATCAAATTTATATATTCGATTCTTATGCTATGTTACAATAAATTATTTTAAACGATTAAGCAATGTATTATTTTAATGACCTATATTTTAGTCCTTGAGAAAACTTTCAAACCTGTCCGCAAGCTATAAAGCAATTGGCAATAGTTTGGTAGTAAACACCTTGAATAGGCCTGTTTGTCTTATAATTTCTTTACAATATTACTTATCATGGCGCGTGTTATCGCAGAAATTCTAATATTTCTCTTATTTACTCATGACATCAATGCTCTGGCACTAGAGGCTGATGGGAGTTGTCCATCGTTAGCTAATATAAGTTGTAAGGATGGAATCTTACTACCTTTATGGCAGCCAAAGGATAATATCACCACTCTTCAAAGGGCGATCCGCGCTATTGTATATTTTCTTTCCTTGATGTATTTATTTCTTGGAGTCTCAATTATCGCGGATCGTTTTATGGCTGCCATCGAAGTTATTACAAGCCAAGAAAAAGAGGTTCGACTGAAGACGAAGTCGGGGGAAATTCAAGTCATAACTGTACGTATTTGGAATGAAACTGTTTCAAATTTAACTCTCATGGCTCTTGGCTCTTCAGCTCCGGAAATCCTACTTTCCATCATTGAAATTTGCGGAACGAATTTTGAAGCCGGTGAATTAGGTCCTGGAACAATTGTTGGCTCTGCAGCATTCAACCTATTTGTTATTATAGGCCTTTGCATTGTTGTCATCCCCGTAGGGGAAGTTCGCCGTGTAAAACATTTTGGGGTCTTCGTTGTAACGGCCGTGTGGAGTATCTTCGCATATCTCTGGCTTTACTTCATTATTTCCGTCACCTCAAAAGGTGTTGTAGAGTTTTGGGAGGCTCTTCTTACTTTCCTCTTTTTTCCGGTTACTGTTCTTACAGCTTATATTGCTGATATTAAACTATTTCAGAAGAAATTTTTGTCAAAGAAATACAAAGCCAGTAGGAAGGCTAGGTATATTGTGAAAAATGATGGTGATTTAGAAGCTAATGGAAAGTTTGCGAACTCTGAGGGTGGTTCAATAACCAGCGAAGAGTCCCTCGAAGAAGACTTTGAGAAAACGCGGATGGAATACATTGAAACAATCAAGCATATCCGTAAAAGGAACCCTAACATTGATCCTAGAGAATTGGAGGAACTTGCTCAGATTGAGGTTCTCAATAAAGGTCCGAAATCTCGGGCCTTCTATAGAATCCAAACTACAAGAAAGCTAACAGGAAGCGGAAATGTTGTGAATAAGGCCCAAATTGAAAAGAAACTCGCTATAAAGCAAGAAGAAGTGAAGGATGTCTACGGTCCCGAGGTGCAGCAAATTTATTTCAATCCTGGTCACTATACCGTAATGGAGAATGTTGGCAGCTTCATGGTCACTGTGTCACGAAAAGGTGGTGATCTTCGAAATGAAGTAGCTGTTGATTACGCCACTGAGGATGGAACAGCTATCGCACATGAGGACTACGAGCCAACTAACGGAACTCTTGTTTTTCGTTCGCATGAACAACATAAACAAATAATTTTAACTGTTAAAGACGATGATATTTTTGAAGAAGATGAGCACTTCAATGTTCGGTTGAGCAATCTCCGGGTCATTCGAAGTAATGAAGAGAATCCAATTTGTAAGATTGTTGATCCGTCAGTTGCGACTATCATGGTTCTCGATGATGACCACTGTGGCATTTTCCACTTTAATGAGGAGTCGGTTGAAATTAGTGAATCTTGCGACAACGCCGTCTTTACTGTGGTCCGCAGTTCAGGTAACGCAGCTCCATCTATAGTTTCGTTTTTTTCTATTTTTGGTCTATTTTTGCGAATCTTATATTTATTAGGTTCAGTTGTTAAAATGATAGCTTCAGATGCTTATCGAAGATGTTATTTGAGTTGAGATATTCCTACATGTTATAGTGAGATGAGATTGAGTTTGAAAGATTTTGGTCTAGAAAAGTATTGATTTAATTCGATTAAATTTATTATGGGTGTGATTTTCCTAGAATTAAGACTTTCATTCATTTACATTTTCGGATTTACATATTTCATAAAGCGGTTTTTCTTTGCTTGCAGTACATGTTTGAATTTATTATGAGCAAATATGTTCGTTTTTACATTTTTCTTTGATAATTAAAGCGATAATACAGATCTGAGAACTATTATTGGTCTGATTTTTCATGCCTTTGATTCAGGCGCCCGTGGCTGCGTTAGAGTCCCTTTCAAAACTCTTGACGGAACTGCCCGTGGAAACGGCAAAGACTACTTAAACGTCTCTGGTACTATCGAATTTCAGGATGGTCAAACTGAGTATGTCTATTTTAAATTTAACTCGGGCTTTCCTCTGTCCTAGCATATTCAGCGAATTGTAGTTCTCAGATTGTTTAGTGTTTATGTGGGAGTCAATCGTTAATGTACGACTTGTTCTCGATTCTCACGAACTGTTTTGCCGCCTCATTACATAGTTGAGGTCTATTAATGGTCGATCGTCTGCACTCATATAACTCTTAACGACTTTCTACGTATTCTCATTGTCGCTATTATTTTAACATAATATTAATTTTTATACATTATGAAGTCAGCCGCTACTAGGGTAATATTGGGGCTATAGTCATATTAAGCAGGAATTAGACGGGTCTTTAACAAGATAGGTTTGCCTATGAATTGCTTTTATGGAGAATGATTGGTTTCAGGTCCCTTTTGTAGATAAACTGTAAAATTGATATCTCGATGCACTAATATCCTGTGAATCTTGAATTGGATTTATTCCGTAAGAGTGTAGCTATTCCCTATCCTAAAGCACACCATTTAATCATTGGCTTATGGCACTCAGCTGCTTCTTTCTAACTATCATTCAGACCACGGAAAGGTAAAGGCAAATTTCTTTTCAGTATTCCTTAATAATTGGATTAAGGAAATAAATTTGGCTATTTTAAGATTGATATATTTCAAATAAATGCCCGCCTGGTTAACCAATCGTTGCTAAAATATATTTAAGGTTATATATCAGGATACAGACGTTAATTTTAAATAATTGAAAATCCATTTCACGAGTCATAAAACTTATAAAGTCTACTTGAACACATCTAAATTATTCGATCAATGGTTCTAATAAAACAAAACTTTGCTCGTGTTTGAGGCACCAAATTTGAGTTTGTGCTTTTATGCTTCACTTATTTTCTTTTATCAAACGAATTTGCTTATTCTTGTTCGGAAAATCTTATATTCAACGCAATTTCCTTTCTCTCCATTTTGCTCGCGGAAATCACCCCGAGCTTCATTAAATTTTGACGATGTTTTTTCTCCAATTCTCCCTTGTTTTGCTTTAGTTAGATAGTTATAGAATCAATGGCTATGTGTGCATGAATACCTCTTATATAGAGTAACCTTATTATGTGACAGCCCAAGTACTCCCATAACGTTATTTTATGATATCTTCCATTGGAATGTTGACGTGTAGTACAAATGATGGAATCTCCACTACTTTCCTTTCCTTTAAAATTATGGTGGAGTCTAAGCGACGCAAGTTCTTTGACATTAATTATTGAAAACACATAAAGGCAAGCAACTATGAGAAAGTTAGAGGAGAATTAAAAGAAGTAGGTGAAGACATCAAATAGTCTAACTTATTTGTAATTATGCATTCATTATATTCCCCTATTCCCTTACTATTCGAATTTGGGGGTGATTGCGTTGTCACTATTTTCAAAGGAGGAAGCGTTCACTATGTAGTGGCACAACTCTCAGTCTTCGTCATTTGTAATCCTCATCATGCCGAGATTAGTTGCATGGTCGTTTGTCCACCCCTTTGATTTATATTAAATATTTTTTTCAACCAAATAATGATGCACTGCGTGGAAAGGCCCCATTTCGATGCAATGAATTTCTGTTACTGATTTTCAAAGCGTGTCGATCGTTTGTTTGAAATAAGTCGGTTGTCATTGAATTCTCTTCCCAATAGTTGGCTGAAAGACGAGTCCATCAATCCATGTTTTCCATTACTTATTCCTCAAAAATTATAACGACTATATGATTGACGATTTCTCCTTTTTTCGGAATCGAAAAGGCTTTTATCGTCTGTTGTTTGGCTTTCACTTTTGGGAAAAAATTTCATCAATCATTGCGAAGATGTGATGTTTACAGAAATTGCACCAAGGAAAGTGGGGTTTCCTAAGACTAGAAGTGGCGTCTGTCTCTTTTAGTCAAGCATTAGACTTCTATAAATACGCGCACTAGATCGGTTGAGGGTCCACGCTTCATAGTTAGGCGAATCTGTTTTATTCAGTAGAAGCTTTCGTTTCTTGATGTTATCGTCTTTTGTTTGAACTTCCCTGAAATTATTTGACTCTGAGTGATTGGAAACGGATTGTGCACTAATGTCTTTTTATTTGAATAATATTGATTTTCCATCTAAACAGCTAGTTGCCAGTCTTAAGGGTAGTTTTCATCATTCGAAGCGTTCAGTCCAAAGCGATCAATACAGGGGGG